AGGAGTTCTGTCACCCAAAGGGCACGGCATCGACAGCTCCGTGGGGTCGCAGGAGTAGTAGTAAAAGCCGCAGCAGCAGCAGCCGCAGCAGCAGCAGCAGCAGCAGCAGCAGCAGCAGCAGCATGCCGGTGAGGTCGTTCAGCAGCAGCACCAGGAGCTGCGGCGCTAGCAGTAGCAGCAGTTCCCAATAACAGCAACGGCAGCAGGAGGAGCAGCTGCAGCGGAAGCATCAAGCAACGAAAGTGGAAGTAGTACTAGTACTGTAACATGACCAGTAGAAGCATTAACAGTGGCCAGGCCAGTACTGGCGCACCGGACTTCATGCTGAATAACATGATCATTGTGAGAAGACCGGCTTTATTTACACACGCGCACACACGCACACGCACACGCACACACACACACACACACACTCAGAGACAAAGCATCCTAGGCCTATCCCAATGGTTTTGTTATGTTCTGGTGTATATTGAATACTGGTTATCATCCACCCAGCCGGAAGCTGGCAGGGGTCCGCAAACTTCCAATTTCCTTGAGGCCAAGGTCTCTTAAAACCCAAGACTATCCTCAAGTCCTGATGTACGATCAAGAAAGAGTATCGGTGGCTTAGGGCTTACAGACTTTCTAGACAGACAGCTTTGACTTTTACATCCCCAGCACCTTCAAACGTTCGAATGCCCTTTGCAAGCCGGAGCTTTCCTCCTTGACGCGGGCCTCCCAGGAAGAGACCACAGCGTGCACGATGCCGCTGCGCTTCGCCCGGATCTGCAGACTGCTCGATCAGAAGATACGTGAGCGGGTGATGCGTAAGCCGTGAGACTCCTTTCTGAATAAAGGCTACCCCAGAGTCCACGGAAAAGCGGAAGTTAGTCTTCTCTTGGCAAACGGAATGTGCGCTTACATAAGGAATTGGTTCGGGGAGGAACGCTCCAGCTGATGCATTCAAAACCCACTGATTTCTCTTGCATTAGATCCTAAACCCTAAACCGACTGATTTCTCTTGCATTAAACCGGGTGGATCGGGAGCCCTCCAGCTCTCGATGGTTGCTGTAGACAAACAGAGGTCAGCTCGGGAAAGCATGGCAGGAGAGCCTGGCCAGCTCACAAAGACCCTCCCTCCCTTACAAGGGATTTAGGGCTTATAGGGTTTATAGTGTTTTGGGTTTATAAGGGTTTATAGGGTTTAGGGTTTATAGGCGGCATACCTCACACACACACAGGGAAAAACAAAACAAACAGTCAGACGGACAGACGACAGAGACCGACACAGACAGACACCGACGGAAAGAGACAGACACAGACGAATACAAGCAGAGACAGACAGAGACAGACAGACACAGACAGGCACAGACAGACACAGAAAGACACAGACGTAGACAGACACAGACAGACACCGACACCAACAGACACAGACAGACACCGACACCAACAGACACAGACAGACACAGACAGACACAGACAGACACGCAGACAGACACACACACACACACAGACACAGACAGACAGCGACATACCGAGACAGGGAGAGACCAACGGAGACAGACGGACAGGCAGACAGGCAGGCAGGCAGACGGACGGAGAGACAAAGAGACCGAGAGACAAACGCACAAACAAGCAAAAACAAGCACACACACACACACACGCACACAGACAAAGAGTCAGTCAACCATGCGAAGTCTGAAAGCCGCGACAGCTTTCCTACTGATTATTGACAGCATTGTTCGGCATGTGTGTGGATGTCAGCACAATGACGGAGTGACAATAGTCGCGATACTCTTGGCGGTCAGATAAACCGGTGATGTCGATGACAGCCAAGCAAATGGCGGCGGAAGCTTGATAATGAAAGCTGATGATAAGCATGTTGCTGAGGACAGTGGCGATACGAGGTGGAGATGAAAGTCATGGGAGACCTGCCCCTCAATTTAGGAAGAAATGATATTCATAGTACTGATAGTAAGGTAGTAATCATAATACTAACAGAAATAGTGAGAACAGGATGGGCCGTTGGACAAATCTTGGTTATATTGGTTACACATCTCCTGACCCGTATTGCACGGATCTGGTAGCCATCGACATGTCTTTCGGGATGTTAGAACTGCAACTACAGGTTGTTCAGCAGACATGGTAATGATCATGGTGACCATGGTGATGATGATGATGATGATGACGATGATGATAATGATGGCCATGGTCATGATGGCTTATTGATGCAAGTTGCCGCTTTGACAATGTAACCTCGTCTTGGTCGTAAGTTCCAGCGTTTCTTGACCACATGCTCTCCCGGTATGAAATCGATGATGCCACATCGGTGGTTGCCACTGACTGACAGCTTGCATTCGCGAGCTAACGATGCTGGCAGCCGCTGCTCTCGGCAGGTGAACGGCTACGTGTAGATTTATTGTCTGCTTTGCTGTAAATAGAACTAGGAACCCTAAGGAATGTTATTGGTTATTACTTAAGCCCCTAGTTTACCTGTCCCTACTTGGAGGTTCATGGGTAGCAAAAAGTGGGGTTATAGGTAGGTAACTGTAACTAAATTATAAGCCATAATGGGGACTTATAGCCCCATTTATAACTACTCCTGCACTCTACACCCTAAACCCTATAGAACCCTTTAAAGGAACCCCATAACCCTACTTATAACTACCCATGAACCTCCAAGTATAGCCCAGCCTTGAAGGTCTTCTGCGGAGGCACAGAACGCCTGACACGGGACGGCTGAAGAAGTGCAGCTTACCATTCGATCGGGGTTTAGGGTTTAGGGTTTATTCGGGCTTAAGGCGGGTCCGGGTCAAGAGGTTGAAGTGAAATGGCCTTGGAATCTAGAAAGGAAGTGTTTTGCCTGCAGCATTGCGAGATACTATACCCGCTGGGAGGCCTATATATATATATATACACACACACACACACACACATATATATATATATATATATATCCTAAACTCCGAAACCTTTCGCCAAAACCTTACCAGAAACCGCATCGCCTAAACCCAAACCCTATAGCCAACACTTTGACCCTACATTTGCTATCTTCACCACAGGTCTTGGCAACAAAGGCCTTCTCTGCGACAAAGTATTCTATAATGTAGGGGGCCTTATAGTTAGAGCAGGGTTCCTTTGTAGTAAAGTTTCTGAAAAACAGGACTATAAAGATGACACTAAAGGGTATTGAAGGGTATTCTTGGGGTGTCGCACAAGTTTAGAATGGGGCCCTTAGTAATTAAAATAGACTAGGGTTTCAGACAGTATTGGTAAGTAGAGTGGACAAAACATGCCCCAACTGAGCAGCCTGTCTCCATTCTGGAAGTCCACTTCAAAGATGCAGACGCGGTCAGACATCTGAACGAGGTCTGGAAGGGTGTTCAGGCGAAAGCCCCACCTCGGAAATGACGTAATCGCTGGGTTTAGGGTTTAGGGTTCAGGGTTTACGGAGGCGTCAATGATCCGGTCAACGGAAGGAAAATGCCAACCCGAAGTAAACTCTACAGCAATGAGCAATAAGGAGCAGTAGCAAACGATGCAGGGAACATCCAATATGGTCTTGCATAACAGGGTATGTGAATTTTGCATGAATGAATGTTTCTGCGACCAGTGCCACAGACGGATGCAATGTTGCATAAGGGACGCTTAATCCGGAGGTACAATATTCGGTCATCATCATGAAAGCGGTACACATGGACAGACGCTGGCCCATGATGGAAAGGCCTTTCGGTCCTAAACTGTAGAACCCAAACCCTCCTAAACCCTAAACCCTAAATCCCTTTTTACAAAGGCTTGATTGGAGCTCGCTCGGCCAATGTCCCTCGTAGCACATCGCACTCGTGGCGAGATGCCCAAGGCTAAGTACGCACNNAACTGATGATCCTGATAGATAGAGTCGTGAAGCCGATGTAGAGTCGAGTATTTCCTTGGCTCTGTAGAAGCCTAAACCCCTAAACCCTAAACCCCTAAACCCCTTTTTCAGCAGGCTTGTTGGTTCTCTCCTGGACAAGCTGTTCATGTTCGCCAACCCCTAAACCCCTAAACCCTAAACCGATGGGCCCCAAACCACAAACCAGCTCAAGAGCATCGGAGCTGAAGAGATGCTCGCTGAGCCACTGCTTCGTAAAGAAGATCTTGCCCGTGTCCTTGTAGGGTTTAGCGGTTTAGGGCAAGGGATTTCTGAACGCCACAGACCACTTGTGTAAGGCTGCGAAGTTGGAATGGTAGGTCTGGTAAGTATTGTGGCGATGCATTTTTGGGCACATGCTGTACATATAAATGCCACAACACTAACCGTGTCGTTGTTCCGATGTTGTGAGCGTTGGACCTGGCAGTTTTCGGAATTAGCGCATGTTTCAGCGATCTGCTACTGTGGAGCATATCCCTGCAACTGTCTAGAATTTCCAAAGCAGGCTGTGCGGTCCATGTTCTGGCGTTTATCTGGCATGCTGCTTCCAAAAGCGCGGGAATGTGACCGAGATGTGCACTTGCAACCATTCGGACCATCGCTGCCTAAAGTTGTCATGTCGAACTCAGGAATCGTGCAGGCTTGTCCCTGCACAACCTCAGCAAGCCTTTTAACTTGAAGCTATGTTGAGGCTCTTGCGCGGCGGAGCCCCTGGATGCGACTTCCATCCATGAAAACATGAATGTTCCATGCTGGCACAATGGACAAATGACGGACGCTTGCACTATGCATGTATACGTATGTCTATGCCATTACATGTACAGGCATGTGTGCGAGTGTGTGCGTATATGCATGTGTACATACACGCTTATAAAACTTGATTGAATGAAAGCACATTCATCTTGTACATGCATATACACTGCGTGGGACAAACAATTAAATATGCTACGCCCACATGTACATACACGTCTGTATATATATATATACACACTTGAACAAATCTATCTATGTATATATGTATATATACACATACATACATACATACATACATACATACATACATACATACATACACACATACACACATGCACACATATTTACATATATACATACATGTACTACATCTACATACATGCGTTTGCACAGATATACTGAGGAACCGTTCCCAAGCTGTGGTGATCCGACCTGCAGGCAGCCGATGGCCGACAAATCGAAGCCTTGACTGCACTCCGGCTGCACACTGGACACCTGGGTTCAGGGTTTAGGGTTCAGGGTTAAGGGTTTAGGGCGAGGTGCAATAGGATTGTTGTGTACTTCGTGTGCAAGCCGGGTTCAGGGTTTACACTCTCACAACTCGGACAAGCCAGGCGAGGATTCATAGGTGCAGTAGTCCGTGTGACACAGAGCTGACGGGAGGGATTAGGGTTTAGGGCGAGGTGCATTAGGATTGTTGCGTACTTAGGGTGCGGGCCTTAAGCAAGATGATGGACATGGACAAAATGTAGGAGCATGGCTGACTATTTCCACTTGTTTGTAAGTGTTGCTGCCATGATCAATATCAGCATCCGTGATCGCAGTCAGAGCGGGGTGGTGGTGCCGACGCTGCCGCTGAGTCTGGTGTTTTTGCTGTGCACGCTGTTTGTGTTGTAATTGCTGTTGGTGTCGACACTGCTGGCTGCCAAGTGGCAGAGCTTCTGCTACTACTACTACTACTA